GAACTAAGACCAGGGTCCCCTCAGGAAGGGCAATCGAGGCCAGGGTGCCCTAAGGAAGTGGGGACGATGCTGTCATCACTCTCAGGAGAAAGAGACGCTGCAAGGGTTCATTTCAGGAGGGAGAGAGGAGGCTGGGTCCTCCTTGGGAAAAGTGGACGGCTCATGGGTCACCCTCAGGAAAAAGGGGTGACGTCAGGTGGTACCCTCAAGAAGGGGGAATGATGTCAGGTTACTCTCAGGAAAAGCGGAAAATGTTAAGGTTCCCCTAAGAAAGTGGGAAAGACACTGGGGTCACTCTCAGTGAAGGGAGTGACGTCAGGTAACCTCAACTTTCTGAGTAGTCTCACTTCCAATCAGAGGTCCTCCTCCAGGGTCCTGGTGTTTAAAGGCGAAGCAGCCGCCCCTCACGGGCCCACCAATCACAGTGCTGGGAAAAACCTACCTCCTGTCCCCACCACGCCTCCTGCCCAGTCTGCGCCTGCGCATCTTATTGGTCCTGCTGTAGTTCCTCCGAGTTACTTTAGGGGCGCTGGAGCCTCCAGTTCCCATAGGTTGGCAACCTGTGTCTATGACCCATTTTTATTTTTATTTTTTACCTATGAGGATACATTTATTAAAGCTGAGGACAGTAAAACAAGGAAGGATTTAGCATAGGAGAAGCAACAGAAGAGCCTAGGCTGGGCTGTCTTATCTCGCCCGGAAGTCAGAGAAAAGAGGCTTTGGAGACGGGTTCAGGGGATTAGCCTGAGGCAGGTTGCCAGCTGCCCATTCATTGCCTTAGAGTTTAGGAGACTCATGCTTGTGAAGAAAGAAGCGGGAGCGGGGAGAAGAAAGGCAGGGGAATGGTGCTGGGTTCTTTGTCTTGAGGCTTTTATCTCTTGCGGTCAGGAATCTTAGGGAAGGTCTATAACCCATTTTATAATAATAGTATCTACTTTATAGACTCTTGTGAGAATTAAGTGCCTGGCACGTGGCCACTGGTAAACCGTAGCCAGTATATATTTGCATTTTATGAGGGAAACTGAGGTACAGAGCCGTTAAGTAACCTGCTTAATGACTAACCCAGTCATTAACTGTCAGAGTCGGAGCTAGAACCCAGGCTAGCTGAATCCAGAGCCTCTGTGTTTACCTACCATGCTTTTGTGGCTCCCAGAGAACAACCACTGGCTCTTATTTCTTCTAATTATGAAATAACTTTCCTCTTGATTATAAAAGTAATGCATGCTCACTTGCTAAAATTCAGAAAATATCTAAGGCTACAGAACAGAAAATACAGATCTCTTTTAATCCCACCACTGGAGAACTGTTAATATTTAGATGAACAAGGTGCCTTTTCTATATACATAGTGTTTTTAAGTAGGATCATGTAATGCAGAACATTTTGAAACTTGTCCTTCTCATGGTAAACATCTTGTCATTTAAATATAGGCTCATCTCATTGTTTTTAATGGCTGCATATTATTCTGTAATAATAGGGAGCCTAATTTAATGACTTCCTAGATTGGACATCTGGGTCTTTAATAAATTTTTCAATATTCTGACCAACAGTAGAATGGACATTTTGTACCCACATCTTAAGGTTACATCCAACTGCAATGGCTAGGTCAAAATGCATGCACGGTTGTTACATTAAAATTTTTTTAAATGATTTTATGTTTTAATTCTCATCCAAGGATATGTTTTCTAAAAAATTGATTTTAGAGAGAGAGGGAGGGAGCAAAACATTGATGTGAGAGGGAAACATTGATGGGTTGCTTCCTGTACACGCCCCAACTGGGGATTGAACCCCCAACCTCAGTAGGGACCCTGACTGGGAATCAAACCCACAACAATTTGGTATACAGGACAACGCTTCAACCAACTGAGCCACCTGGCCAGGGCTACAGTTGTTATGTTTTTTGATAAATATTGTCAGATCACTCCTGGAAAGCTGTGTGCCAGCTGCTGATAGCACTAACAAGCTATGAAAGTGTTTGCTCACTTCAGAATAGTTCATATATTTGTTATTTGCAAATAGATAAAAAAAGGAAAGTGCTCTTCATTTGTACTTCCTTATATTTTTATACTGTGAAAGAGGGAGAAATATTACCCATGACTCAAGATTTTGTGCATGTGAAATAAAAGAGCAGTAATGATATAAAAAGTATTGGGTAACTATCATTGTGGAACAGGCCCTGGGCCCCCAGTGAGGTCCCGGCCTCATTTCCCTGAATTTTCCCAATGCTGTGAGATCACGTCTTGGCCTCTTTCCTCATCTGCAACATACAGCCTATATTCGTACATACCTCAAGGGTTGCTGGAGAGTGAATAAAATATTCCTAATGAGTTCGTAGCGCTGGAAAGGCTGGAAGAGGTGGAGCAATTTGCTGAAGACCAGGTAGCCTGCAAAATGGCTGATGTCGACTTCAGAGCATTAACTGCCTCTACCCCTCCCCCAGTATCCCCAATCCTGTTCAGAGTTCAGGGTCTCCCAGCCCTTGGTGATCACCTTTGCGTGAGGAAAAATGAACTCCCCAGCAGGAGGATTTTAAAGAGCTGGTGGTGATCACATGCCACCTCTGACCTTTGACCCATATTCTCAGCCTGTCAACTTTGTCCCAACACAGGGGGCATTTGGGACATCACACCTGTCTTTTTACACTCAAGGAAACTGAAACCTGGGGTAAGAAGGCTAACCTGGGCTCACCTGGCCATCTCTGGCAGCCCAGGGTTAGGTAGCACTGTTGTTTCCTGTGCCCCAGCCTGATACCCTCTCTCCGATCTTCCTTTGAAAGGCCCTTGGGGAAACAGTTGGGTCTCCTCTTTGCTTCCTGCACAAAGTTCACAAAGTTCAGATTCCCTGGAAATTTCTAGTTAGTTTTCCAGCTTTGCTTTGCTCCTCCTCTCTGGGCCCAGGATATCTACTGTGAGTCTTTTTTTTTTTTTTTTAATTTATTTAATCTTTAGAAGGGAAGGAAAGGAGAGAAGGAGAGAAATATCAATGTATGGTTGCTTCTGGTGCATCCCCCGCTGGGAACTGGCCCCTGCTGGGAACTGGCCTGCAACCCAGGCATGTGCCCTGACGGGGAATCGAACTGTGATCGTCTGGTTCACAGGCCCGCACTCAATCCACTGAGCCACGCCAGCCAGGGCTACTGTGAGTCTTTAAGTCACAGTCAAACAGGTGAACCTTTGTATGCACTTAATCCTCTATATTTACTCTCTCACTTAAGTTCCAGAACTCTGAAGTCTGATTCAGTAGCTATTGGCTACATGTGGCTACTTAACATGAAGGAAAATTAAAACTCAGTTCCCCAGTTGCAGTAGCCATATTTCCAGAACTCAATAGTGACATGTAGTGAGTGGCTACCGTGTTGATAGCACTGAAGTAGAACATTCCCATTATCACAGAGGTTTCACTGGACAACCCTGCTCAAGAATGACCTGGTGAATCTGAGATTTCTATCTCGTCTTAAAGATGAGATAACTGAAGGTCAGAGAGATCACACCCAAGGGCACATACCTAGACCTGGGATCCAAACTAGTCCCTGGTACTAGTGACTGATGGCAGAGTAAGTAGGTGAGTCAACCTTTCCTAAGATGCAAGGAAGCTGCCACCATCTTGTTTCAGAAGACACCTGCTGTAATATGTACATCTACCGACCCCACAGTGCTTAACCTTAAACACCGTGTTTATGTATCTGTTCCTTATACCCCAGAGGCAGCCACATCACAAACACTTCCGCTATCAGCATCTCTATCCACCTGGGAAGTTTTGCTCATTAGCGTAGAGAATGTCAGCACCATTTGGTGAAGTCAGGGGTTTGTTAATTAGCCTGATAAAGATTGGAAAAGGGGCTCCCATGGGTGGAATTAACGCTATTAAAATATGTGAATTGGTTAAAATATGAGACTCATCCACTCCCCAACCTTGTATGTACAAGTCAGAAAACAGAGTTTATAACCCAAGCCTGTTCTGTGTCCAGTAGTTAATTTGGAGTATTCAGCCTGCCTGACACCCGTAAGACTTACAGGCCCAAAGCAACACAGAATCCTGCCTTTAAAATACTCAGGTTTCCAGGTTTTGTTTACACACAACGTGAAGACTGCAGCACCAACATGGATGAATGCTGGGAATTCAGTTGTAAATTCTTTTGTGCCTGGATATCAAGTTTAATGTCTACACAGCAGAATTTGACCCGAGACCTTTTATCATGACCTGACAGCCAGATGGTGAAGGTGTCAATCAGGCCTCCTGGAGGTTTCCAGGGGTGACTTTGAGATTCCAGAAGGACCCACGTGTTGCATCAGACATGTTCTACATGGGAGAAGCCAGCAAGGGTCTGCTGGCTTCCAAAGACTGCATGGTATCAACCTTTATTTCACAACCGGGAGTCCCCCGTGCCAGGATCTGGTCCACGTCTGGGAGCTGCTTTCCCCCAAGCTCACTGCAACCCCCTCAAGTTCTATCTACTTGAGCAATAGAGTCGAAGCCTCCCTTCCCCTCACCTCCCAGCCCAGGCCAGCAGTGCAGGAGAGGCGCACCTGAAGAACAAGAAAGGCACATCAGCCAGGAAGATCGGTGAGAGCCTTGGTTTAATTGAAGACAAATCGAAGGAGTGATTCTCGATCAATGGACTGACTGATCGTCAGAGTGGACAACACTCAAGGGGTCCTCTGTAACCTCCCTGGGTAGAGGAGCCCTGATTGGGGGTGGGATAGTCCATCTGGATTGTAGCCAGTCCCACCCAGCCCTGGGGCAGGGGGAGGGACAGGCTCTGCTCAGCCCTCACCCCCTAGATGAACTAACTCCCCACCAAACAACAGCACTGAGCCCACACTTTTGGGGTCTATGGTACAGTTTGTATAATACAGCAGGCATAGGGACTCTCCCACTGGGAGATCCCCACCCTTCCTTCCCCTGACCGGGTCAGCCAGGGATGGCAAGTTTATTTTCCCTTTTTGCCTCTGTAGAATAATTTACAAACAAACCTTACAGTATGTACAAAAAAAAAAAAAGAAAAAACAAAAACAAAAAAAGGCCCACCCCGGTTGCCAGCTAGGACAGAAACTACTTTCACTACAAAAATGAACCCTGTACAGTATCATGAGGGTCGGGGAGAGTATACTCCCCAGTGGGATAGACAGATGGCAGGCTGGGGGGAGAGGGAGGCTACAGTACCGTGTGCTCAGAACTGGACAAGTCGGGGCAATGAGACAGGCCCTTGCCCTGCCCAACTGCAGAACCAGGCCAAGGGACATATGGGGGTGGGGGGAAGAGGGGGTCTTTCCTTCCCAACAGTCCCCCATGGCTTGGAGAAAAATGGTCTTGCATCTGTCTGTCATATTGCTGAGGGTGGGGGGAATAGTTAGGGGGGAGAGGGAGGCTTGGCAAGGTGGGACAAAGGAGAAATGACTTTGGTGCCAGGGTGGGAAGGGATGCCCAGGAAGGGAATGTAGGTGTACACCATTATTGCTTCCTCCTAGGGCAACGGGTTGGGGAGGGTGGCAGGAAAATGCTGGGGGGGCGCCTAGGATGGGGGCTTCGGGCCTGGCCCCGCCCCACCCAAGGTGCAGGTGGGAGCCACTGCAACCCTCTCCTATGGCCGTGGGAATCATTAAGGCAGAAACAAGAGGAGAAGCAGCTGGAAGAAGGGGGTGCAGCTCAAAGATGTCCCCCCAGATGGATAAAATTCAAAGGAAACCCAACGTGGAAGGGAAAAGGGTTGGCAAGCAGAGGGAGCTCAGCCCTCCTCAAAGCCCAGACCCCAGGCTGGTGGTGTGAATGGCCCTCCAGCACCCTCTCCTGCCAGCAACCTAAGAATTCTCATGCCCTTCCAAGTCAGTGTTGCCAGGTTTGTGCAAAATGAGGCGGAAGACTTCTGGAGGGGGGTGGGCAGTGAGCCTGAGAGGGGCTAGAGCTGGGGCCTCTCACAGTGACTCTCCCCCACCGGGCCACTGCCCAGAATGGCTATTCCTGGCTGGATTCTAGAAACCCTCCAAACTTCAGGAGAGCCTGGAAGGAGATCTTACACCAGCGTGGGCCCAGGTGGAGAACCCACAGAGGCTGGAAGACTGAGCCTGGGACCTGAGAGGGGGGGTGGGGAGGAGGAGATGGACCAGGGGAGCCGGGAACAGGAGCATCTACAGTTGCTGTGTTTCATCCTGGTTTTTTTTTCTTTTTTTCTTTTTTTTTCTAAAAATGTAACAATGAAAATTCCAAAAATAAAACCCCTTCCAGGACCTCAGCCCCTCCTTCCCCAGGCCCCACCTCCAAAAAGCGGCCTCATGGGTGGGGCTGGGGGTGGGGGGAGAGGGGAAAAAAAGAAAAGAGAAAAAAACCCACTTTTCTGTTTTCTTTTTTCTTAAGAGGCCCAAGAGTCTTTGAGGCAGTGAAGGAGGCAGCTGGGGGATGATGATGGTGAAAGGAGGAAGGGAGGGCAAAAGGGTGTAGGGTCCGGGGCTCAGGTCGGGGCTCCAGCAGACCCCCACCCACCAGGGGCTGGGAGCGTGGGTGTGTCCTCGCCCGATGTCCCTGTGCAGGCACAGCACGCCCTCTTGGCAGCCTGATGCTCTTTCTGGGCCCCCACCTCGGCTGCCATGGAGGGGAGGCCCGGGAGGCCCGGGGCCGCCTCTGGAGTGCGCGGGGTCCTCAAGGCAGGCAGAGTGGGGCTCTCAGGAGTCAGGGCAGGGGGGCTGCTGCAGCCCACAGCACCCACAGACGCGTCTGGGGATGTGGACTCGTCCTTGCCCGCTGCCACACTGTCTGCTTGCTGTGTCAAGGACATTTCATCTACCTCCAACTCTGTGGACACGTCCTGGCCATCGACCTCCCACAGTTCCTCAGCTGGGGATGCATCTTGGGCCACGAATAATTCCTGCACCTCGATTGCACCCAGGGCAGAGGATGACTCTTCCTCTTCCTCTTCCAGTGTCAGCTCAAACTGGAACTTATCAGGTGGAAGTGGGTGATCTGGCCCCTCTGGCTCCTCCTCGGGTGGTGGTGATGGGCTCTGCCGAATGGCACTGTAGTACCAGTCCCGGTTATCTTCCAATGTGTCCAAGATCTCCTGGGCGTCTGGGTGGACCAAGTCAGCCCATGTCTCCCACAGCGGGTGCACAATATAGTCAATGAAACCCACCTGGGGGAGGGAGAAGAAGGCATAATAAACTGGTGGCTCGTTGGTACAGGCGGCACTGCCATGCTGGGGCATCTAATAAAATGTTAAGATTTTATTATTTATTTTTAGAGAGAGAGGAAGGAGAGAGAAACACTGATGTATGAGAGAAGCACTGACTGGTTGCCTCTTGCACACGCCCCAGCCGGGGACTGGGCTGCAACCCAGGCATGTGCCCTGACCAGGAATCAAACTGGTGACCTTTCACTTTGCAAGGACACACAACCAACTGAGCCACACTGGTCAAGGCGGGATCTGATAGGATTTAACGATGCTGATATCATTTGACCCAGCTTTCTTGATCCTCCAGATCTACCCTGGAAAAACTCTTGCAGAAATAACAAAAAAGAATCACATGAAATGTAACGAAAACTGGAAATACTTCCACCTATACATTCACGGGAGAATTTTTTTTAATGTGGTTCCTGCAGATATTCATTATGGCATTTTTTTTTTGCAACAAAGAGAAACTAGAAATAACTTCATGCAGGCTAACACCCTGATATCATCTTCCCTACTACTTTTTTATTGGCAGGATCTTGATTTTTTTTTGGGGGGGGGAACAAAGTGCTTCCAGCTGAAAACTGCATTTCCCAGTCTCCCTTGCAAAGCGAGGGGAGCCATGAGACCACCTGTAGTAGAAGATGCTGCATCAGGGTCCTGGCGGGGGCGCTGCACCAGCTGGCAGAGGGCTTCCTTCCCTGGAGTGTAGCCAGAACGGCTGGGGCTTCATCAGTATCTGTGACCGTGAGAGGTATCTCTGGGAAGAAGCCCCATTCTTTAGAGGACCGAACAGAGTTACTGGAAGCTCCAGGTGCCTGCCAATTTCGCGGAGCTTCAAAGAGTCCAACTCCCTTTCTCTAGGCTTTTCTTATATAAAAGGAAAAAAAGCTTTACTTTGTTTGAGTAACTGTGAATTTCATTTTTTAAATTGAGCTTTAGAGAGATATAGGAAGGGAGGGAGAGAGAAACATGGGTTTGTTGTTCCACTTGTTTATGCACTTATTGGCTAGCTCTTGTATGTGTCCTGACTGGGGATCAACCCCGCAACCTTAGTGTATTAGGACGATGCTCTCTAACCAGCTGAACTACCTGACCAGGGCCAAGGCACTGTGAATTTCTAACTCCTTAACACTAAAATGACTATCGATGGGGGGATGATTACACAGACTATTATCTTTCTATATCTGTGGGTAAGCTAAAGCTGTTATAATAACTTGGACAGATCTCCGGGTCATTGTTGAAAAGAAAGAGCAAGATGTATAAAATGGGTATATATTAATATGATTTATATTTTTTAAAAAGCGAGCCCTGGCTAGTATGGCTCAGTGGATTGAGCGCCAGCCTGTGAGCCAAAAGGTTGTCAGTTTGATTCCCAGTCGGGGCACATGCCTGGGTTGCAGGCTGGGTCCCCAGTGGGGGCACGCAAGAGGTAACCACACATTGATGTTTCTCTCTCTCTTTCTCCCTCCTTTCCCCTCTGTCTTAAAAATAAATAAATTTAAAAAATCTTTTTAAAAAAAAGCTAAAAGTTAAGTTGCCTGTGAAAATAACTACAAAGTAGAACTATCAAACTGGTTTTCATCAGGGGTGGGGGTGATCTGCAGGCCCAGGAGACATTTGAATGTTATACCTGGAAGAGGAGGGTGCTCCTGGCACCCAGGGGTGGAGGCCAAGGATGATGCTCAACACCATACAATGCGCAGGACGGCCCCCACCGAAGAGAGTGGTTTGGCCCCCACTGTCAACAGAGCTGAGGCTGGATAATGCTGGTCTGGAAGGGCACACACACTGAACTGGGGAAGGTGAGTCTCCCTGGGAGGAGGCCAGAACTGGGGAGGACAACAGACTCTTACATTCGCACTCCAGTGTTGACACTTTAAGGGCACCGCATTCCTGTCCCTCTTTGTTAAATTAATCAGGCACACGAACGATGAAAACCAGTCAATTCATCTCATTTCAAAATCCTCTGAAAATCAGGGGCTATACCACTAGATGGGTGAGGATATCGGAAATAGGCTGAGTCAACATGAGGTCTTGTAACTAAAGTGCAGCTAAGTATTATCACTGATACTACAGCGGTTGCTGCAAATGAGTTACAACTGTCTGAATGAGGTGTGTGTCCCCAAGGCTCAGTTTAGTTGTTCTATGGAGAGGAAAATGTTGCATACTTACCATTAAGATAGAAAAGAAGAAAACAATTAAGACTTTATGTGATAGAGGGGTAGGTCAGGACCTCCTGGGCCTCAAAGCTCCAGGCCAGGGTAGGGTGGGAGGCTGGTGCCCTGAAACTGTACCTGAGACTTCTCCACAGAGGCCGTGTGCTTGTCGCACATGGGGCTGATCTCCATGCCGCGCTCACGTTCACGGTCGCCCTGCTGGAAGAACTCGGCCATGATGCGGTCTGTCCACTGGCGGTACAGCTCCAGCGGCTTGGTGGGGTTGCTGAGGTCCGCACAGTGCACCATGTTCCTCAGGACCTGCACGGGACACAGGAGCTTCAGGGGCTGTGCTCCCATCTCAGTCTGAAGCCTCAGGCTTCCTCACCTTCCCCGTCTTGCAGGGCGAGTGGGGGGGAGGGGGAGGGGGTAGATGAAGAGAGACAGAGGAATAAAGAGGGAGCTAAGTCAGGGAGAGAAGGAAGGGGGTAAAAAAAGGTTGATGGAGGGAAAGAGAAAAAAAGGAGGGAAAGAGAAAAAAGGAGGGAGAGAGAGAGGTGGGGGGAGATGGAGAGGTGGGGAAAAGAGGAGGGAGTGGGAGGGAAAGGTGGGGGAGATAGTGGGGAAGAGGGGAAGGGAGGGGTTGATGAAAGGAAGAGAGAACTGGGGGAGATGGTAGGAGGTGAAGGGGCAATGGGAAGGGGAGATGTGGTGTGGAAGGGGAAGATGAATGGAGGGAGAGGAAAACAGGGAAATGGGCAAGAGGGGAGCTGGAGGCTGATAGAGGAGCAGCAACCCAGATCTGAAGGGTGGCGGGGAAGGGAAGAGGCCAGTCTGATACAATGTGTGCAGGGGGCACCTGGATGCGGTCGGAGTAGTTGTCCAGCAGAAGGACCCCTGAGCTGGTTACTTTCTTGGTTTCTACCATGGTCTTCAGGTCAGCTAGGAGGGTCATATGCTTGGACATGTCCGTGGCCAGCACCTGTGGGCAAGGGAGCCGTCAGAGGGGCCACTGAAATTTCCACCAGACCATCGGCTCACTCAGAGCCTCTGAAGCTTCACAGGGAACGACCTGTCCCCACGAATGCCACCAAAAGCTGTCTCTTCCCCCACAGGCTTTTCCCTGTCAAACTCAGCCCTTCCCAAAGCACCACCCATCAAAGGCCACCTGCCCTGCCCCGCCCCTGCCCTGCCCACCATGTCGATGACCATCTTGCGCAGGCTCTGCCGCTGGCGTTTGCTGAGGTTCTGGAAGATGTCACAGTTGTCCTCCTGCAACAGCTTGAAGCCCACAGCCAGGTGGTGGTTCTCCAGCACCGACTCATCATTGTACATGAGCGCCAGCTCCGAATCTGCAGCCCAGGCCGGGTCAGGGGTCAGGGGAAGGAAGGACCCACAGGGCTGCCTCCATCCTGACAGGCCCCACCCCCTCAGAGGGCCACTTACTGGTGTTGATGAGGAACTGGTTGGAGACCCCAGGGTGGTCCACATCGTGGATGGCAGCCGCAAAGAGGGCTGCGAGAATCTCCAGGTCTGTGAATACAGCCTGGAGGCAGAGAGAGGGGGTCAGAGAGACAGGGGTTAGAAAGATGGGGGGGTCAGAGAGACAGAGTAAGAGAGATAGGGGTTCAAGAAAGATGGAGGTCAGGAGAAAAAGAGAGGTACGGGGTCGGAGAAAGACAGAGGTCAGAGACCCAGGGCTGGAGAGATAAACAGGGGATCAGGTATGGCTAGTCAGAGATGGGGTTCGGGAGGCAGGCGGCCAGGCAGGCGGGGCTCACGTCCAGCGCAGGTGTAGCCAGCAGCACGTGGGTGGACTGCAGCACATCGGCAGCGTGCAGGCTGTTGTGGTAGGCCACATCCTGGTGGTAGTGGTCTTCCAGGGTCAGCATATATGTCACCATTGTGTCCACTGGGATGTGAAACTTCTTCAGCAGGTCTCGTTCCTGAGGGCAGGTATGGAGGAGCAGTGACCCCCACTACCCCTTAGCTCCCCACCCTGGCCCACCACCCTGCCCCACGCAGCCCACCCTACCTGGAATATCGTGTACATGATGCAGCTGAGGGAACGGCCACTGGCATAGTCCGACACGTGAAAGATGTTCAGGCCCCACTTGTTCAGGTTCTCCAGTTCCTGGGGGAGATGGCAGCCAGATATCAGGAGTCCGCAAAACCCAGGGCCCTCTGGACTCTTTCCTGCAGAACTCAGGTCTGCAGATGGCACCACTATTGCTTATCCTGTGGGTGGCGTGCTCAGCAGCACAGAATCTACTGCTTGGGTCCTACTGGGCTGAGAAAGAACAAAGCAACCACAGTGACTGTCTACTGGGTGCTTATTACCTGCCAGGCACTGCACTAAGTACTTGGACTCACTTGGCAGGGGCGGAGAAGTAACCAAGACCTGGTAGCCACCGAGCTAAGCTGCTCATGGGCACCAGAAGTAAACACGGGCCAACTTCCCATGTCTTCCAAGATCTGAAACAGTGTCGGCACACAGCAGGTGCTCAATCAATGCTGGGTAGCACTGGCGTGTCAGCTTGCAGAGGGTTACTACACATGACAGCTCAGCGAGCCACTGAGAAAGATTACCTTGTTGTACAAATCGGTGGGAGAGACCCTGGGCTCAAGGTCTCTTGGAAGAGCCAGAAGCCACACACAGGTCTGGCCTGCAGTGCACACTATTGGGGTTCTGTCCAGGTCCCTTTTACCCGCCACTGCTCCCATCTCTATGCTGCTGGGACTGCTGCTTTTAAGGCTCACATCTGCCGCATTCTCCAGAAAACTGCTTCTGCCCCCAAAGGAACTACAGGACAGGGATGATGCCAACACCCTGGGGACAGCTCCCAGCCAGTGACTGCCACAGAGGCCAACACTCTTCCCTCAAGGCAGGCTCAACTCCGCAGTGACGTTCACAGGCTAGGCTCCCCCGCAATGTGGGGTCAGGCCGAGGCTGGCCAGGAGCTGAGACCCACCTTCTTGCTTAGCTCCTCCCTCTCCTGCTCCTTGGAGTCTCAGAAAGTTCGCGTTATGCCACTCGCTTTTACAAAAGACCTACATTAGTACCTGCTTTTGCTAACTGGAAGAAACCCAAAGAGGATTTTTGCTTTTACAAAAAAAGGTAAAAATCAAAAACAGAAAACTGTTCAGCGTTTGTTTCTCAACAGCTGCTACACAGGCAGCAGCGCCCTGAGCAGGAGAGCAGCGCCGCCCAGCTCCCGGTCCAGGAACTGCACTCCGCATCCAGCATCTAGTCGCCAGAGCTTTGATCTGAGTCTGTTGTGAGCATCTGTGCTTTACCCAAATTTATTTTGTGCATCCATTAGCAAGATGTGTCCTAAGGTATCAGAGAAGCCTAAGAGAGCTCGTAAGGGTGCTACACTTGATGTAAAACTGGACATAACTGTTTCGATCATAAACAAAACAATGACCTGTTAATGATAACTGCTTCTTCATTTTATGCCGTTTTGGTTTAGGAAAGGTTTCATGGGAATGCTCTGCTTTTGGATAGCTGAGGGACCCGCACACCCCAATGTTCATCTCAGGCTAACCTAACACCCAGTCCTTCCCCAGGAACCCCGCCCCCCTCCAGCCCAGTCCCTGCTGAGTCCCCACCCACTTGGGCCAGGAGCTCCTCTTGATCTGTCTTCACCCCAAAGCGTGGTACGTTGGAATCAGTCAGGCTGCTACTATGCATCAGCTTCTTCACCCCCATGATCTGAGACATGGGCTGGAACTGTGACCCAGGGGGTGGAGGCTGCTGGGAGGGTCTCTGCCGCGGTGCTTGCTGTTTGTCTCCATCCTTCATTGTGGGTGACGGAATCTCTACTTCATTCTGCTTGTCTGTAGAAGACGGAGGACAGCAAGCATGGGTCCCCCTCAGAGACTCCTTCATCTGGCCCTCAGCCCCCATGCCATCTTCTCTCTCCCCCTTCTGGGTATCATGCTGCTGGTTACTCACAGGCTGGACATCAGAGGGGAGGTAGGAATTTTTCTGGGAGGTGGTGGGCTGCAGTAGAGACTTTAAGGCCTGCTAGAAGCTAGAGCTGCCATGGAGATGCTAGAGAGAGCCACTGCTTGCCCTAATAGGCAGGGAACTTCCCTGGATGGGAAGACACCTCCATGGTGACAGAAAATGCTGGTGGGGGTAGACATTGCTGGAAGGAGGAAGGGGATAGGTGGTTTCTGGCTTCATGGACCCTGCCCCCTACCCTGTAACACCAGCATGCCTGGGAGCCAAACGCTGGAGCCCTTTTCCTGAGCTATCAATGGTTTCCAGAGCCCAGCCAGGACCACCCACAGTGACCTGGGGCCCTCTGGTCAATGACGGGGACTTAACAAGGATCATTTGCATGCCATCCTCCCATTGGCTGGATCTCAGAACTTGGACGCCACACCCCCACTGGAGGGAGCATTTGAAAATCAGAACCTTTTCTTAAACTTTGTGGGGAGGGGCAAGTCTCTTGACTTTGGGGATCTTTGGTGTTAAATTGTGAGGGTAAAATTATCTTGAGTTTGTGGGGAATATCCTCAGCATGGGCTCCTGGGTTCAGAGGTTCTGAATTGGAGCTCCTCCTGAGCTTTGGATTCCACTGAGTTAGGAAATTATCCTAAATTTGGGTAATCTCTTCCAGATCCTTAAGCTTGAGAATTCTATTGAGTTGGGGTAGCTAAAGTTTGAGGAGTCAACTGAATCTGAGGGGGTCATAAAAGTTTGGGGATTCTATTGAATTTGGGGGAATTTTCAGTTTGGAGGTTTTTTTTAAAGGTTCAGGGTCTTTTATGGATTATTCAGGGCAGAGATTCCTTTATGTTTGAGAATCCCACTGAGTTTAGGCACCTTTCTTGAGTTTGAGGGGTCCTCATGAGTTTTGGGAAGATACAAGTTTGCAGTTTCTACTGACTTTTGTGGGGCTTTTTGGCTTGGAGGCACCCCCACACACACCAGTGTATTTATTTATTTATTTATTTAACCCTCACCCCAGGATATGCTTATTGATTTTTAGAGAGAGAGGAAGGGGAAAGAGAAAGAAATATCTATGTGAGAGAGAAACAAGAAACAGTTACCTCCTATATGTGATCCAACCAGGAATCAAACCCACAATCTTGGCATGTGTCCTGACCAAGAATCGAACCCATGATCTTTCGATGTACAGGACACAGCTCCAACTGAGCCACCTGGCCAGGGCAGCTTGGAGGCATTTTGAAGTTTAGGAATTTTATTTGTTTGGGGTTTTTGGGAGTCATGATTTTCAGAGTTCCACTGAATCTGGGAGAGCTTTTCAGTTTGGAGAGAATTTTCTTTTTTTTAATTTTTTAAAAGTATTTTTTAAAGACTTTTATTTATCTTTAGAGGGGAAGGGAAGGAGAGAGGAGGAGAAACATCAATGTATGGTTGCCTTTCGTGCATCCCCTGCTGGGAACTGGCCTGCAGGGAACCGGCCTGCAACCCAGACATGTGCCCTGACTGGGAATCAAACCGCGATTGTCTGGTTTGCAGGCTCGCGCTCAATCCACCGAGCTACACCAGCCAGGTGGAGAGAATTTTCAGTGTGGGGTTTTATAGAAGTTGGGGTTCCACTGAATTAGGGGGCATCATGAGTGTGGGAGCTCTTGAACTGTTGACTTTGACCTTTGGAAAAGTTAAGTGTCAGGGTCCATTGGGCAAAGGTGGACAGTATGACCCCAGGGTATGTAGGGGCCCCTCCAGCCCAAGTGTGTACCCCTGCCTTGAGCTGCCGCTCACTCACCCAGGAACGTGGTGGAGATGTACTCAGAGACCTGGTTTCCTGACCTGCTCATCTCTGACAGGTGTGTGAGTTCACGGTTTAGCATCCTCTTGAACTAAGGTGAAGGAGGCAAGAAGGAAGGAATGATGGGGGTCACAGAAAATGGGGGAAGTCAGCCTCACCCAAGAAACTTCTGAAGACCCCATGAGTCCCTCCCACTTCCCTGTTCAGCCAACAGCCCCCAGCAGGCTGCCAGAGGGGAGGGGTCAGGGGAAGGGTCAGCCCCTCTCCTCCTCCCAGCTCTGGATGGGGGTCCCCAGGCTTTAAAAGTCAGGACCCAGCATATCCCTCCTTGCCTGAGGAAGGGGGGCTCCCCTCCCCATACTCTCACACTCTTTCCCCCCAAAGAAGGAGCCAGAGGAACACCTGTGAAAGGGAGGGGCTCCTGACTAACAGGGAGCCAATGGAGTATCAGGAGAATCCCATTGCCATGGTGATGGGAGTCTCCTTAGCAACTCCCCCTCCAACCAGCTGCTGAGCTTGGGGGAAAGGGGGGCAGGCCACAGGCCCCTTAACACTTGCCCTTCCAGAGCTACTGCTGGCCTCTGTCTCCCCAGGCATTGACACCATGCATGCCCTGGGGGTCCTGGCCCACCAGCACCCAGCACCCAGCCCAGTTTGGAAGAAGGGAACACAGTTCCCAAGTTCTGGGTGAAGAAAAGGTTTGGCTGGGTCAGGAGACAATAGTGAGCTAAAGAAGCCCTAGCTGGGTCACCCAGGGGAGGGGGTTCCCAGATATAGTCCCCTCTTCCCTGGCTTCAGGGGGTGGCCAGATGCACCGATGAATGGAGCATACCCAGAACCTAGCTAAGGGGCCCTTCCCGGTGCCCCCGTGCCACTTCACACAGTACCTGCTGTGACATTGTGCAAGGAGGAGAAAGGGCATCAGCTCCCCACCCCCAGGCTGTCAAAGCAACCCCAAAGCAGAAGCCGACTCTGACCACAGACACAGGAGGGACACTAGGCAGGAAGGGTGAATTTGAGAGCCCACTCTGGATGGAGCGCTCACGCTGGCCAGCGCTGGCCAGGGACCTTGGGCACACATAAAGCGACGGAGATACACAGACACACGCAAGATGGACCCACGAAGTCACCAACCGCACACAGACACAGATTCCTATGTAACATGGTTCACAGAGCCCCAGACATGCAAATCAAGGGGCATGTACAGCACGGTGGCCACTGACACTTGGGGTCACATGTCCCAGAAAAATCACGCAGTTCTGCACTCACAAACATGCCCAACACACAACACCACCATCAGAGCTGTAAGACCTCAGACGGGGCCACACCATGACCCAGGCAAACAAGCACACAGACAGGCAGCCCCATACCATTGTAGACACACACATGTGCACTGCCAGTCACACCCAGAGAGACCCCACCCCTGGCCACCCACCATTTATGCCCAGCCCCGGGCCACACACAGAGCCACAATCAGAAGCATTCATCTCCAGGCCACACACGTGCACAGCTGCACACACAAGTCCAGACCTGGGGTTGAAGGGTCAGAGGTTAGAGGGCCAAGGCCAGATCTCCTGCCCATCTACCACTGTGAGGTCCCCTACCTGGTCCCACCAGCCCACCAGCCATGGTTTGGAGCAGGTCTCGCAGAAGAAATCCACCAAGGGCATCTTGGAGTCTTAGCCCAGCTCAGGGCTGCCACACACAGAGGCTGAGCTTGGGGAGTCCTGGGGTTAACAGCCGCCGTCTGGGGCGGGGGAAGGGTGGGCGGGTGGGCAGTGGAAGGGGGAGCCGCGGAGGGGCCTGGGCCGGCCCAGCAGGGCTGGGGGCTCCCTTCCCCTCCGCGCTCCCGGTAGCAGCCCGGGTTACATGGTCTGCCAGCCCCTGGCCCCTATGGGCCCCCCCACAGGAGCAGCTGGAGGTGGCCACGGACCCCTGCCCATGGAGGGGAAGGGCGAGGGTCCCAGGAGGCAGCTTCAGAGGTGCTGAGCTCTGTGTGTGTGCCTGTGTGTGTGTGTGCGTGCGTGCTCACTGCAGCACTGGCAGGCTGCATGTGATGTCAGCTGGTGCCGGGGGTGGGGGGGGCGTTAAAGGGGCATCAGAGCCCACAGACCTCAGCCGGGACCCAAGTGGGGCCAGGAGAGGCAGAGCAGTACACACCTGCTCAAGGACATACCCCCTGCATGGACACACCCAGAGACAAAGACACTCAGATGCTCCGCATGCAAACACATACAAACACTCTGGGACACACCTTCCACCCTAACACAGCCTGTACTTGACACGCTTGAACACACACAGATACCCAGATGCTTTCGGTCCTGTGCACACAGTCACAACTCTGCTGTGCGAGCACACTTATAGGTACACAGCTGCGTATGCAGACATGCAGATGCCTTCAGACACACCCCTTCCAAGAACACAGACCCACACCCCAATGTGGACACACACACACGGAGGGACAAACACTGCGATACTGGACACACTATAAACACATACTCAACAGACCTTCAGAGCCTTTCAAACAAACACAAGTACCCATGTGGCCTTAGGCATAAACATACCCTGACAGTTCCACAAGGGAACACGCACACACTCACATACACACCCATCATGGAATCACACTCACAGATTCGCATTCAGAGATATAGTCACATTCTCAGATGCTCAACACACTCTCAGGGACACAACTGCCCTCAGACTTGTAAGTTCCATACAAATCTCCACCCACAGGCATAAGCACCGCCCCAACACAGACCCCCCCACCTGCACATTCATTTCCTGAGACACATCCTCCCCACCCCACGGGCAGCTGCCACACCGCACAACCCCAGGAAGTGTCATTCACACTGCCTACTTTCTGAATGGTGCCCCTGGAGCTGTGCAGTGCAGTCTGCACGGCTGTGCACAGAAGGCTTGCACCCTCCCCTCCTGCCCTGCAAGTACACACACACACACAGTCACAAACACACGGAGATGCACTACAGGTATGGACCAACTCACAGCTGTAGACATACACACCCACACCCCTCCAGCACAGACCCGCACACCTCTGCATATTGCCTGTGCACGCCCACACACCATCCATAGTATACATCTGTACGCCACACCCAACCCTGTGCTGCAAATATGTAGCCAGCAAATCGAGAGCCACACAGACTCACAGATACACATCCGTAGACCATACAAGCACACAACCCCGCCCCAAGAACAATGATTGTCTATGGACAGATGTACAGTCAGACACACAGCTGCCTCTCCCCTGCACCAGGTTCCTAGGTCTTGGGAGAAGTTCAAATCCATAGGAGCTACAAGTCCCAGAGCTGTGCCCAGGGCTTGGTCCCGCCCAGGGCTTGCCTCACTACAGGCCCTAACTATGGATTAGCCCTGCCCACTGGCCCCACCCCATGTTAACCCCGCCCCAGGCCCCACCCCACAGGCCCTGCCCAGGGATTGGCTGCGCACCTTGTGAGACGCCATCTCACTGACAGAGCGGTAGGTCTGCATTGTCTCTAGCTGCTCCAGACACCAGTCCAGCTCCTCCAACGTCTCCCGGGCCAACTGCTGACACGTCTCCTCTGAAGAAGGGGCAGCAGGGGTGGTGAATGAGAGGATCCACAGGCGGACCCACAAAGGCCCCAGCCCATGGTGATGGTGGTCAACCAGGTGAGTGGGGTGCTGGGAAAGGGGATGAGTCAACAACCGTGGGTGAGGCATCCCCTCGGGACAGTAAGAGGGGCCCTTTTCCACTACCCCTGGACTTATTTACCTGACAGCGTGGCCTTGCACACCGGGGTTGGCCCACTCAGTGGGGATCGCCTGCAATGAAACAGGGCTCCAGTGCCACCCCTTCCAAGTCCCTGCCACCTCCTTTCCATGAATATTCCTTTTTCTGAGCGCTCAGTGCATCCTAGGCATGCTGCCATATACTCTGATTGCAGCCTCTCACAGAGCCCCACAATAACCCATTTTACAGACAAGGAAACTGAAGCTCAAGGAGGTGAACCAGCTTCCTGGAGACTACAGCTTCCTAGGCTGCTCAGCACTAGGGTCAGGTCTTGTGTCTCCAAAGTTCCTGCTTCCCTGACCATCCCTCCCCGACTCCCAGAGGGATAGGCAGCCCTCAGCCACGTCCCTGCACCACAATAAGAACTGTTCCTATTTAGTGGGCACTTACTCTGTGCCTGGCAATGTTCTAGCACTTTCAGCACATCATCCTCTGGACCCCTCACAGCAGCCATCTAATGGAGGAACTTTTAAATTCCCATTTTCATGGAGAAGGAGCAGAGGCACCACAGGATGCTGTCTGCCCAGGAGGCTGGTGTGAGGGCAGGAGTGGCCTCATCACCCTGATCCACACCCCTTGGTCTTTGTTTATTATAAAGTTTCTGTGTTGTGGACATTTGAATTGCAATGGTTTACTGGCCAAGCGGGAGCTGTTGCCTGAACAGAGAGACTCAGAGAGATCGAGTGCCTGCCTGAGGTCACACAGCAGAGCTGAGAGTGGAACCCGGGTATGCTCAGCCTGATGGTCATGGTCGCTGGGGCCCAGCCCAACTTACTTGTTGCTGGGAATGGGCACATTGGTCAGGAGGGAGAAGTTGCTGCGAACACTGCGCAGACTGGCCAGCACCTAGGACCGGGGTGGCAGTGAGAAGGGGGTAGCTGGGGCTGGATCCCTCCCCCAAGTGCGGGGGAGGTCTGGAGCCCCTTCCCTGCTTAGGAGAGGGGTCTCACCTGGGCAAATGGCGTCACGATGAGGTCCTCGGCATACCTATAATCAAGGACAGGGGTAGGTCAGGGGTCCTCACAGCGGGATGCCAAAGGACCTGAGTGGACTGGGGTTGGGGAGCCAGAGAAGCAACTTTCTAGGGTGGACACTGTGGGGGTGGGGCCCAGGAAGGCTGGTAGGCAGGGGCTCCATGCAGTGGGGGGAGGGCATTTACACCTCACAAGGGTGAACACGCTACAGGGGCTGGTCCTGAAGGAAATGGAGGCCGGGGAGAAGGGCTCTGGTGGGCGGTAGAGAGGTGAACACACAGGTGAGAGGAGTGGGTGGGGAGGGGCCTAGGGCAGGAAAGGGCCTGGGGGGCCCAGTGAGGTGGACAGCTTGATGGGTAAGGGCAGGGCTGGGGGATCCAATGAGGGGAGGGGGCTGAACAGGTCTGGGGGATGCTTATGCCTCAGTAGGTGGTCATGGTATAAGGGAGGCTGGCTTAGGAAAGGCTGGAGGAAGCTCAGCAGAGGTGGACACTGTGGGAGGAAGCTGTGGTAGAGAGGGGCTCAGTGGAGGGGGGCAGGGGCAGGGCTGCTCTCTCCTCGCTAGAGACACAGACTGAGGTGGGACCAGGCCCCAGCAGCCAATGGGTAGGCTGGGTGGGTGGGGATTACATGGATAAGTGTGGGGCCTGAAACTGAGGGAGGGGCTCAGTGTGGCTGTGTGGGGGGCAGAGGTGAGGGGCACTCACTGGCGGTCATGCTAAAAAGGGACTAAGCCCTTGACAGGGGGAAGGGGGCTGTCTACCCTTCTCTGGGGAGGACAGGTCTGGGGGCTTGGGCAGTGCCCCCCTCCTTGCTGGGAAGGGCAGCTTGTGATAGAGCCAGGCCTGGAAGAGCTGGCCAGTGGGACTGGGGAGTGCTCACGCCTCGCTGGTGACTGATGAGTTCCGGGACATGGTCTTGGGTGACATGTCATAGTCGCTGTCTGAGCGGTAGAGGAAGGACTCACGGCGCTGGCTGGTGGCCACCCCAGCGTGCAGCACAAGGCCCGGGCTCGCCTGCGAGTCCAGGGGGCTGCGGCCGGGCGATGGTGTGGGCCCATTCTCTGCCTCGAAGCTGCAGCGGCAGGTGGAGACGTGGTCAGGGGGACTGACAAGGCATTGAGGAGGTTAAGAGAAACAAGGGGGCTGAGGGAATTCCTGGCAGAGATGAGGGGCAAATAAAGGACACTAAAGAGAGAGGTACCCCACAAGAGCTGGGAGACAAGGAATTGCAGAAATCCAACAGTTACTGAGCCTTTGTGGGCCAGGCCCTGTTGTAGGTACTGGCGACAGTGCTGTGACCCAGGCAGAACGCGACTTGTCCTTCACAGAGATGACACGGGGAGGGCTGGATAAACAGGTTACCGCAGTAACAGTGCACACCCCCAAATCTGAGGGGTCTTCCTTGATGCTACACCTCAAATCAGCCTCACCGCCCAGATCTACTCAAAACTGGTACACTCCTCAGCCTCTCCTTGGCCACCATCCTCGATCACTTGCCTGGACCAATGCAGTCACCTCCGGTCTGGCCCTGGCTCCTTTTTTTTTTTTTTTTTAAAGAGGGGAAGGAAAAGAGAGAGAAACATTCATCAGCTGCCCCGCCCATGTCCCCCAATTAGGGGTTGAACCCATAACCTAGGTATGTGCCCCGACTGGGAATCAAACCTACAATGCTATGGTGAGCAGGATGACGCTCCAACCAAGCAACCCGGCCAGAGCCCTGGCTCCTGCCTTTGCCCCTCGGTCTGTTTCCCCCTCAGGAGGCAAAGGACCTGTAAACACTTGAGTCAGGTCACATCCCTTCTCTGCTCAGGACTTTCTATGGACCCCAGCTTACTCCATGAGGAAAAGCCAAAAAGTCCTTGCTGCGGCCCACAAGGCGCTGCTCCACGACCCCCCACTCTTCTCTTCACTCATTCTGCTCCAACCACAATGGCCTCCTCGCTATTCCCTGGACATTCCACACAGTTTCTGCCTCAGGGCCTTTGCACAGGCTGTTCACCCTGCCTAGATCTCCAGTGGCTCCCTTTTCACCTCCTTCAGGCCTCAGCTCAGATGCCTACTCTTCAGGAAGGCCACCCTTGACCAGCGCACCTAAAATCCCCACCCCTGCCTTGTTAGTTCGTATTCCCCTTTCTTAAAACAACTCTACTTCCTGCACATCATCTATATTTCACTTCTGCACTATTTGCTTTCCCTTATAGAATGAAGTACTGTGGATCAGGGATTTTTCTCTGCTTTTGTTTAGTGCTGTATCACTTGCACCAAGAACATGGCCTGGCACATAGTGGACACACAGCAAATATTTACTGAGTGAATCATAATATATGTAAATGAACACATGAACGCATGAAGCGAATTGTGCCTTGCAGAAATTAAACTGGGTGGGTGACTGCTACTGACTGGAGAGCTGATTCAGCTGCCATGGTGGAAGCAGGCCTGTCTGAGGAGGTGACATCTGAGCAGGGCCAGAAAGCTGGCAAGGAAGGCCGTGGGTCATGGGTCAGGATGTGGGAGAGAGCACGCCTGCGTGAGGGGACAGCAAGAGCAAAAGCCCTGGGGCAGTATTCGGGTTTTCTCTGAGGGTCAGCAGGAAAGCTGGTGTGGCTGGAATGGAGACACAGCCTAGGACAGAGACACAGCTACAGAGAAGGGAGACAGGGGGACCCCAGCCTGGGGCCACTGGCAAGGCCAAGACTTTAGGATGAGGCAGGGAGATGCTGGCTACGTACCACTTCCCAGCCATCTGACCAAGTTTCAGTTTCCTTATCCACACAAGGAACACAACCACCACCTGCCTCGGGCCATCCAGGTGAGCAGTATTAACTCAGGTAAAATGCTCAGAACCATGTGCCTGGCACAGAGCTCAGAAAATACTGGCAATTCTAAGTCCTCTAGCTCTGTACATGCCACTTGGGGAGTGGACTCAGCAAGGCAGCCGACATGGAGAACTGAGCGTGAGGATGGGAGTTGTGTGCCTGCAGCTTGCTCTGTGGCCTGGGGAAGGCCACTGCCCTCTGGCTGCTTTCACCACTGTTACAGGGAGGGGGTAAGACCAGTGAGCAGACTTCGGGCCACCCTCTGGGGGATCCGAGGGTGTAGGGGGAGGAAATGGAAACCCCCACACCTTTCCAGTCCTACCAATTTTGAGTCAGCATAAGATAGTATTTGAATAGTCCCCCTGCTAAGAAATGTCTGGCGTCTCCTATAACAGGCCAGTGATGACACCTGCCATATCTTGAGCTGTTTTTCCAGTCTACTTCTGGGGTGTGGGGAGGATGGAGGGACCTCACTGACTCTTACAGAGGAAAAGTAAAGTTCAGGGAGGGGAATGGTCATCGGTTCTGAGTCACACAGTAAGACCATGATGGGGTCAGAATTCGAAACAAGGTCTTGTGGCTCCTTAGACCAAAACGTTAACTGGTGCCCTGTGCCTCCTTGACCCCCATCAGAACGTGTTACTCCCATTAGGAAAAAAAAAAAAAAATGTTAAAAAGGGCCAGACAACCAACACCAAAAGCAGAGTGGAGCTAGGGCCCAGAGTAATCAGATATTCAAATTTTAGGAAAGAAACCTGAAATTTTAAAGTAAAAAATTCAAACTTCTTTAAAAAACGAACTCCAGGAAAAAATACAAAACAACAACAACAACAAAAACAACTTCAGCACATCACCCAATCCACTTTCAGAGGCTGCTTTTCTTTTCTTTTAAAGATTTTATTTATTTTTAGAGAGAGGAGAAGGGTGGGAGAAAGAGAGGGGGAGAAACATCAGTGTGTGGTTGTATCTCGTGCAACCCCACTGGGGACCTGTGGTCTGCAACCCAGGCATGTGCTGTGACTGGGGATCGAACTGGTGCTCAATCCATTGAGCCACACCAGCCAGGGCTCTTCAGGCATGCTTTTAAACACAGTGTAATGATAAAGGTTACCTCTGAGGAAGTTTGTGAATGGATAGAAAAAGATAAGTAAAGAAGGAAAAATGAACATTTGTTATGCTGGACTCTATATTTGAGATTCTTCATTAGTATTTCAACTTAAAAATAAATTACCAAACAAGTTCCATCATGAAAATAAGTGAGGACAGTTTAAGGGACCTCTTGGAACAACATCAACCATATGAACATTTACATCAAAAGGGCACCAGAGGGGCCCTGGCTGGTGTTGCTCAGTGAATTGAGCACAGGCCTGTGAAGCAAAGGGTCGCTGGTTCCATTCCCAGTCAGGGCACATGCCTGGGTTGCAGGCCAGGTCCCCAGTAGGGGACACATATGAGGCAACCACACACTGATGTTTCTCTCCCACTCTCTCTCCTTCCCTTCCCCTCTATCTAAAAATAAATAAATAAATAAAATAAAATGAAATAAAATAAAATAAAATAAAATAAAATAAAGGGTACCAGAGGGAGAAGAGGGAAAGCACAAAGGATTGAAAAGCTATTTGAAGAAATAATGACCGAAAACTTCCCTAACCTGGTGAAGGAAATAGATATACAAGTCTAGGAAGCTCAGAGGGTCCCATACAAGACAAATCTGAGGATGCCTATACCATGACATAGCATAATTAAAGTGCTAAAGGTTAAAGACAAAAGAGAATCTTAAAAACAGCAAGAGAAGAACAGTAAATTACCTACAAGGGAGCTCCCCTAAGACTGTCAGCTGATTTCTCAACAGAAACTTTGCAGGCAAGAAGGGACTGGCACAAAATATTCAAACTGGGACCTATGAACAAGAGTATGCTATCCATAAGGCTATCATTTAGAATTGAAGGAGAGCTAAAGAACTTCCTGGACAAGAAAAAGCTAAAGGAGCTCATCACTACCAAACCAGTATTATAAGAATGTAACAGGAACTTCTTTAAGAGGAAGAAGGGGGTAAAAAGAATGTACATATGAATAATAAAATGAAAACAACTATGTACCTATCAATAGGCACTTAAATGTAAATGGATTAACTGTTCCAATCAAAAGACACAATGACTGAATGGATAAAAAAACAAGACCCAGACTTCCACCAAGACGGAGGCGTAGGTGGAAACACTTTGCCTTCTCGCATAACCAAGTCTAAACACAACAAAGCTTTAACAATAATATATGCAGCCAAGCCACAGAAAATTGAACAATATGGGAGTCCAACAACAACAAAACACTCAGCTAAACAGGTAAGAGGGGCGGAGCCAGAAGTGGAGAGGGTCAGGCAAAAAAGATCCCTTGACCCAGGCAGCCAAGGGCGAATCCCAGGTGTGGGGTAGGGTGGACCCAGTGAAGGCACAAGGTGGCAGGCTGACTGCGGTCACACATTTGAGCACAGATAAACCAGCCAAGGAGCAAGCAGTGAGACAGACCGCACAGGCCCAAGCGATGGAAAGCAGTAGAGGGGACCACTATTGCTCCCCCTCTGACCCCACCCTCACATACAGCGTCACAAACCAGTGACCTGGGTGGCCCCATCCTGGTGAACAACTAAGGATCCTCTCCTCATATGTAACAGGTGCGAACAGATCAAAACATGGCTCAAGAACAACTCAGAGTCCCAGAGCCCATAAATCTAAGCAAACAAGAAATTGCCAGCCTATCAGAGGCACAGTTCAAAACACTGGTGATCAGGATGCTCACAGAACTGGTTGATTTTAGCCACAAATTAGAGGAACATATGAAGGCTAAACTAATTGAAATGAAGGGAAATGCAAAGGAAAGCAATAGTGATGGAAAGGAAACTGGGTCTCAAATCAAGGGAGCGGACCAGAAGGAAGAAAAAAGTGTCCAAACAGAAAAATATGAAGAAACAAGAATTTAAAAAAAGGAGGAGAGGCTAAGGAACCTCCAGAACATCTTTAAATGCTCCAACATCCGAATTATAGGGGTACCAGAAGAGGAAGAGGAACAGCTACCAGTGGAAAACTTGTTTGAACAAATAATAAAGGAGAACTTCCCCATTGTGGCAAAGGAAATAGGCTTCCAGGAAATCCAGGAAGCTCAGAGAGTCCCAAAGAAGTTGGACCCAAGAAGGAACACACCAAGGCACATCATCATTATATTAGCCAAGATGAAAATGAAGGAGAGAATCTTAGAAGCAGCA